TAACATCTCACCTAGTATTTGAGATTGCATTTGGTCATAATGTCTTGTCAGCTTAGTTTCCTTTAAAGAGTACTGGTGAGGCCCTCCCTGGTGATGCAGCAGTTTAAAGCACAAGCCTTAGAAGCTAAAACCACTTCAGCGTGAGTTCAATCCCCGCCCCAGAGGTGACAGCATGCCCTGGTAGACCTCTCTTGACCTGCCCTCTGCTCCCCTCAGCAGCGTACTTCACTCAGTCTGACTGTTCCCCTCACCCTTTCTCTGATGAATCCTCTCACTGCTCCTGCACTTCTGCCCTATACCCCAGTTCTGTATGCATAAATCTTTAAAAAAAAAAAGAGTACTGGTTAGTTATTTTATAGTGTCTCAATTTTGGGTTGTCTCATTTTTTTATGATTAGTTGAGGTATATTACTGGGAAGAATATTAGGTGATATGCACTGTTTAGTACATAATAAATCAGGCGCTACGTACTGTCAATATGACCTACTAGTGATGCAGACTTAGGTGGCAATGTCCTTATTTTTCCTATTCTAAGATTGTGGTTAGTTTTGTAGTTTTTCATAGTTTGGATTTTGCCAGTTGTATTTCATGGTGATATTTAGCACACTCTGTAAAATGGATTTGATGTAGAGGCTTACTTAGAAGTTGATTTGTAGGTGGTAAAATATATCCACCCCACTCCCTGAAAGACAGGTATTTGTTCCCTCTGTGCTAAATGCAGTGGAAAAGCCAGTTAACTATTTCCTGCCACCTACTTTAACCCATGAAATCATGCTCTGCTGGCTACCAGAGCCAGGCTAGCAAGTGATGTGTTCTCTTGGCAGCAGCTTTAAGAGCTGACATGCCAGACTTGCGCACAAGCTTCTTTCTCAATGGAGATTGAGTGGTGTGGGTCAGAGAGGGAGTATGAAAATGGCACCCGCAACTTCTCCTCTAGAGAGAATTTCAGTGGGCCCCTAGCTGTCTGTTGAAAGGATTCTAATTTAAGGTCTGCTAGTATATCTCTTTCATGAAACAATTGCATGATTCAGTGGATTGTCTCTGCTGAACCCTGAGGGGTAGCCATAGAGAATCTTTGTTAGCCCATTAAGAACTACTTTATAGTTCACTGTAGCCTTGGGGGGGGGGGCGGTGTTGTGGATGCAAACATTTTGGTCTATAGTGCTAGATATTTCGTGGTTCTTAGGTGGAAGTCTTAAAAGTTGGGGTGCTAGAAAAAGACCCAAACCTTTTGCTCCTCAAGGGGAAAACTAGTAGTTGTGAGTTCATTTTGATTGGTTTATGGAAAGATTCTCTTACCTGCTAAGATAGGGGTTTTTCTCAGTTGAATGAGTAGGAGTTGCTCAGCAAATTCTAGATTTCTTTCAGAGGTAGTTGTCATGCATTTAGCTATAGATTTGGGGTGTCTGGGACACAGGGAAGTTCAGGAGTCTCATATGTCACCGTCTTGAGCTGCAACCTCAGGAACATGAGTAATTGATGCTTTAATTATAACTTATACCCCACTGAAATATTCTGAATATACATATTGAAAATTATAAGGTAAAATTATGAAAAATTTAAAAATATACTAGTGCAGTAAATGTAAAAGAATCCATGTTTACTTCCCAGATTTACTATTTGTTTTATAGATCAGTCTTTTGAAAAATAAAAATACTAATATTATAGCTAACATTTATCTGCTTTCAAAGATAATCAGTATCCTGACGTTGGTATTTGTTGTTTCTAACTCAGATATTTATTTGAGATATTCAAAAAAATTTTGCCTCATTCTTTTCTTTTGTGAATACATTTAAATATAATTGGCTATTTTGACATTGTTCCATACATCGTTGATCCTAAGTTCATTTTTAGTTTTTGCTTTTTCAGAGTAGGTAATATACCTATAAAAATTAACTACAATCTGATATTAAATCCATTCAGTGAAGTTTCTTATTTTCTGTTGACTTTGTCCTCTATTCTTTAACCATGACCAAACTCACTCCATTTTATTGATGTAATTGATATAGCATTGTATAAATTTAAATATACAGAAAAATGACTTGATTCTCAGATTTTGAAATGAGTACTACCATTATCATTTATCTCAGATGCCACAAACAAAAAATACAGCAGGTTTTTTTCCCTTGTAATGAGAACACTACCATACAGCAGTGTTAAATATACTGTACATGATATCCTTAGTACTGAGTCCTTATTTCTAATTGGAGAAAAGTTTTATCCATTTAAGGGGTCTGAGAGATCACACAGTATTTACCTTTGTGTCTGAGGACTTATTCCACTTACCATAATGCACTCTAGGTCCACCCATGTTGCAGATGAAGAATTCCTTTTATTTTATGACTGAATAACATTGCCACAACTTAAAAAAAAATCCACTTACCTTCTGTAGATACTGAGGTTGTTTCCATGTCTTGACTATTATACCCATTTTCATTACATTATGTGTCTCTTCAGTAGATACAATCCTTTAGACATAGAATTGCTGGATTATAAATTGTATTTTTATTATTTTGAGAAACCTCCATACTGTTTTTCATAGTGGCTATACTATGTAAATTGGTGTACAATTTTCAGTCCCAACAACCATGTATAGGAGTTTCCTTTTCTCTGATTCCTAGCCAGCACTTGTTATCTCATCTCCTCATGATAGCTATTTTAGCAGTTTAAGGTGACACCTTGTTTGGAAAAATGTCAATTCAGGATCTCTGTCCATATTAATCCCTTACCATATGAATTGCAAATTATTTTTCTACTTTTAGGCATCATGTTTTCTCCTAGGGGTTTTATGACTTCTAACAAAATTTAACTGTGGATTAAACCTGTCTTACACTTACTTTTAAATATGCAGTTTAATTTTTTCACTTGTCCAATTTCCCCAGCAGCATTTAAGAAACTCATTTATCTTTGGAAGATTTTTGGCTTCTATAGCCTTATTTTCTTTTGTGTATTTGAATATATTCACAGTGGTTCTTTAAAGTCTTTTCTTGACAATTCTAATACATGAGTCATTTCAGACACTCATTTCTCTTGATTAGAGATCACATTTTTTATTAATCTTTATAGTAATTTTGGATATTTTTCCTTGGACATAGAAATACATTATATCAGATTTTATTCTAGGTATTTTGATTTTGTGTTATCAGACAACAAGAAGCAGCAGAAATTCAGTTGGTTTTGCCTTACCTGGGCCGCTCTGCACATGCCTAGTTAAGGGGTCAGCAAAATTTTTTGGCAGTACAGCCACTATGGGAAACTGTTTGGAGGTTTCTCAAGTTGCTAAAAATGGAGCTTCCATATGACCTAGCAATCCCACTCCTGGGTATCTACCCAAAAGATCAAAAACACTGATTCAAAGAGACACCTGCACCCTCATCTTTATTGCTGCTTTATTTACAATAGAGAAAGACATGGAATCAACCCAAATGCCCAAAAATAGATGACTGGATTAAAAAGATGTGGTATATATACACAATGGAATATTACTCAGCAACCAAAAAAGATAAACGCATACCTTTTGCAGCAACATGGATGGAGCTGGAAGGAGCATGCTTAGTGAAATAAGCCAGAAAGAAAAGGAAAAATACCAGATGGCTTCATTCATAGCAGAGCATAAAGGACCAGGGGAAAAAAATAATGAACAACTAATATATACCAGAGACATTTTATGGGGGTAGAAAATTTTATGGGATCAAAAATGGAGTGGGGGGAGGGAAGTACACTGGACTATGGCGATGGCAGCCCACGGGGATTACAACTGAGATAGAAAAAGGTGCAAAATGAACTATGAAACTGCCAAAAATAAGTTTCAAAATTTGGAGCTTCCCTTCTGTAACTTTTACTGAGCTAGTCCCTTCTCAACTTCTACCTGCTATTTGGAGTTACCTGTACTGTCTTCTGGATGCCTTAGGACACGTTGCAGGGTTAGTACCCATGTTCTTTTTATGGCAAGTAAAAATTCAGCACTGTGCAGTCACTGTAGCACTAGATCCCCATCCCAGAGGTGACCCATATGGTACTGCAGATCTCTCCTGTCTTACTTGCTACTCCCCTCAGCAGTATGTTTTAGTCAATCCAGCTGTTCTGTTTCCCACTTTGTCCCTGGTGAATCCTCTCAGCCCCTGCACATCTGCTCTGTATCCCAGTTCTTATGTACATAATTAAAAAAAAAAATCCAATCTTATCTCAGAAGTGTTCCAGCTGGTGCTGGCATTTGAGCAGTTGGAAGCAATTTAGATATCTCAAACTATATATAGTAACAGCATTATCCTTAGTTAACTAATTCATTTACCAACAGGATGCATATAATCTTTTAAGTTCATGAACTAGAAGTGATACTGCCTGCCTAAGACTGATTTAAGCAAGAGCGTATTTAAACTGTTACTTGTACAGAGAATGGTAGTTGGAATATTAGGCTACAGATGGTGACTGAGAGTGTCTTTCTGGACACAAAATATTCTGTAGTGTGATTAAATTATGTTTTTAGAACCCACTTTCAAGAGTGGATTGCCTCCTTCCCCTTAAAATTTTGATGCAAGCTGTAGCACGAGAAGTATGTCTATGCTCATGTACATACAGTTTTGGATATCATTTTTGGGGTGGCTTATGCATTCTACCCTTGCCCCCCAATTAAGCACTTTTTAAAGATTTATTTACATACAAGAACTGGGGGTTGGGGGGAGGCTAGAGGATTCACCAGAGACAGAGTAGGGAGCAGATCCGTTGAAATGCACTGCTGCAGTGGGCAAGACAGCAGACTGAAGTCTGCAGCAAGTAGGTCTGCTCAGTAGTGAGGCCACCAGGGAGGCTCCTAAGCACTTTTTTTTTTTTTTTTTACAAGAGTGTATATTTAATGATTTCTAAATTGTTAAGTTAGAACTATATTGTTTGTATATCTCAGTGATGGAGAAAAATAGGTGATTTGGAAATTGAATTTTTTCAGCCTTATAACAGTACGTGAATACAGATCTTAATTTTATATCTGTCATCTTTCTTTACTAGGCATATGCAGAAATGCTGTGGCAACAAGCTAATGAAAATAGACAAAATTCAACTGAAAAAGCCTGTTTTGGAACCACCCTTCCAGAAGAAAGACTTAATGACTTTCGTGATGAACAAATCGGACAGCTGCAGGAGCTGATGCTTGAAGCCACTAAACCTAGTAGGCAATTTAGTATTAGCGAATCTACGAAAAAAGAAGTCTAGTCTGTACAGTAAACCTAAAGAAAGCATTTTAACAGTCAGAACCCCTCAGTTTCTAAGGTCTATTTAGGCTTTGGGATATCTGTATTAGTTATTCTCTTACTTGGGAATATTCTGAATGCCCAGTGCAGACAAACTTTACTGAAATACTACTTGCTGTGTGGGATTTAACTTTTGGTTTAAACCAAGAATGCCTACAAAATGTGCAAAGTTAAGAAATTTTGCTGAAAAATTTTTCCATACAAATGTTTCTAATAGTTATTACTCAAGCACCAAGTAACTATATATCATGAATAAGATACTGAATTCCAGCAAATACATTATCATTCTGAAGGTTTTAACTCACTTTTTAGTGTCCCTTTTTCCTGAGTTACTGTGTATTTAAAACGGTGAAAGGGTTAAAAAGAAGCTTTAAGATTTAGTATACACATAATGAGTAATGAATTTCTACAGTGTTTGTTAACACAAATGACCCTTTAAATAATGTGTGGTTACCTTGAATATCATTGATTGCTTGTGGATTGGGAAAAAACTTTCATAAAAATATCTGAGATTTGTATCTTTAGTTATATTTACCCTGAGATTCTTAAGTCATCGTTTTTTAGATGCAGCTGCATTTATGTCTACTCTTTAAAAATTGATTCTTGGTTATTCTATTTGTGATCTCATGCTTTCTCTTTGTGTGTGGCTGGAATTAATCTTTAGGTTGATTATTGTCTTTGTCACTGAATTATAAGTAGTTGGTCCATCACTAATCTAGTCTTTACATTATTCAGGTTGTAGGAATATAGCACTGACTAAGATAAAGCTCTTCATGTACATGAAGTTTAGTATGTAACTGCACTCAGGAATTGTGTTGCATTGTGAATAAATTATTGAAATACATAAAACTCCTGATTGTTGTACCTTTCAGTCCACCACTCAACCACCCTCACTTAAAGCTTTAAGAAAGTTTTTATGCATAGAAGAACTGTGGCGTAGACCAGAGGTGGTGGGGGTGGGTAGAGAAGATTTACCAGAGACAGGCAGATTGACTGAAATACAGTACTAGTACAGCAGCATGTGATTCAGGAGAGGTCTGCTGCACCAAATGTGGGTCACCTCCCTGTCGTGGTCAGATTCAGGCTGCAGAGGTGCTACCACTGAGTCTTAATCCCAGGCAGTCAAAGAGGCCCTTAACAACTTTTTACTGTTTCATTTTTTTCTCAGGTGTAATCCCCATGGAATTTCCACCATTAGTTTACTTGTGCACCATCACCATAGTCCCTTGAGATTTTCCCTCCCCTGTCCTAATCCTTCTCCCTCCCCCTCCCCTGCAGAATGGATCTAATTTATAGGTGCCCGCTTATTTTGTTGTTTTATATTATTTTCCCCTATATCTTAACATACTTTTTTGAATGTATAAAATTCACATTTATTCTGTACATTAAATATCTAACAGTATTTCACGAAGCCTTGTCTGCAAATACTTATTTAGACAAAGTAAATTAGTTCACACCACATGTATTCCACCTTTTCATAAAGTTGAGTTCTTTAAATGAACTTCTAAAGGTATACATATGACTTAATTGTGTACTATGTGATTAATAGCATTGATGAAGAATTCATTTATATTACAAAAACAATTATGCAAAAAGCTACTGGGGTTGTCAAAAAAAGTCATGATGCATTTTATTGCTTAGAAAACAGAAAAAAATGTCAGGACTTTTTGACATTTACTCTATACATAGTAGTTGTAACCTAATTCTCAGTTTTCATAGAAACTGAGTAAACAATTGGTGCAGATTATTCAGTGCATTCCCTTTCAAGACTTCAACAATTAGAAGTGTTATGTTTCCTTAGTTCAAGACTATAGTTATCAAACATATGGTGTTAACATAAAAATAGGCACATATATCAGTGAAACAGAATAGAAAGCCCAGAACTAAATGTTGCTGAGAAAACGGAATATTCACGTGTAATGGAGTAAACTGTCGAACTCTATTTAGTACCACACACAAAAATAAACTCAAAATATAATAGACATAAATGTAAGGCCCCAAATGATAAAGCTCCTAGAGGGAAACATAGAGGATAAGCTACCTATAGGGTCGGCAGTGATTTTTTTGGATCTGGCACCTAAAGCATTGTATATGAATAATAAGAGGCTACATCAAACTAAAAAGCTTCTACATAGTAAACAGTTAACAAAATGAAAAAGCAGCATATAAAGTGGGTAAAATATTTGCAGTACATATCTGACAAGGGATTAATGTATAAATATACAAGAAACTCAATAGTAAAACTACAGATAACTCAGTTGGAAAATAGGAAGATGACCTGAATAGACATTTGCCAAAAATCTATGAATGGTCAACAGGTACATAAAGAGGCATTCAACATCATTAATCATTATGAAAATACAAATCAGAGCCACAGTATCAATTCACACTTGTTACAATGATTTTCATCAGAAAGTAAGAAATGCTGCTATGGAGAAAAGGAAACTCCTATATCCTTATATTGAGGATTGTAAATTGGTGCAGCTATTATGAAAAACAGGATGGAGATTGCTCAAAATAAAACTGCCATTCAGTCTAACTCTAGTCTATATATAAGAGAGAAACAAACACTCAAAGAGGTACCTGCTCATCTATATTCATAGCAGCTTTACTTACAGTAGTCAACTTATGTATCCATGGTTCGAAAAAAAAGACATAAATCCTCACTTGGACAACAAGCATAGGGTTTGAGGACATTACATTAAATGCAATAAAGACCAAGAAAAATAGTATGTGGAAACTAAACAAAATCCACCAAACTCTCATAGACAGAGATGAGATTAGTGGTTGCCAGGACAAGGGAGTAGAGGAAATGGATGAAGGTGGGGCAAAGAGAAGTGTGATGTCATGTAAAACATCTCTATATATGAGATCACAATGCTTTATATATATATAAATCACCTGATATAAATTGTCTTTCCAAATTTCATATGAAATTTTAGAAAGACAATTTATATCAGGTGATTTTTAACAAGACTTATGTGTACATTGCAAAATGACTACAGTAAGTCATTATGTTACACATAAGCCATTATGTTGAACAACTTATAAATTGTATGTCACTTATATTTTAATAAAATGGTGTGGGGGGAACATAAAGAGTAGCCATTAAACAAATTTCCAATATATGTGTAAAGATAGTACCCCAAATTTATATCATTTTGGTGCTAAAACATAGGTTATGGATTTATTGGCACTAGAGTGAGTGCCTTGTAGATGTCAGTAAATCTTTGGAGGATAGTAGGATCACAATTTTCCCAGGGAAACTGTTTAAGTAAGATTCTCAAGGAATATTAGCACCATAAATGAAAGCCAACAAAGACCACCATAAAATAATCTTGGAATAGCATATGTCTAACAAAAAACATCTGTTTTCATATGCTTTGAAAAATCAAGTTTGAAAATACCTACAGGAAACACCACATTACAAGATTGAACAAGCAGAGTGAACTTTGGTTCTCGGAGAGAGTAAAAATGAAGTGGAAGTAGTATCGGAAGGAAAGTCATTATGAAACAAGGAAAATAAAAAAACAGAAGGGGAAGGATTAATAGAAAAAAGTTGGTACTAAATATAACAAAAGTTTTCAGTAATTGCATCAAATATAAATGGGCTAACCACTGAAGGACAGGTTGGTTTCACTTTTCAACCAATATGACAATTACATGTTTTAAGAGACCACACTCAATGTACAAAATATGGAAAATTGAAAGTAAAGTTTTGGCAAAAGTTTATAACAGTCAAAAGTCAGTACATTAATATCTGAAAAAAATTTAATGCAGAAACATTGCTAGAGATAGTCATTTCATATAGTGAAAGGTTCATTTTTAAAGGATCATTTTTAATTGGCATTTAACTGGGGAGTAAATGAGTAAACCCCTCCATATTTAATTTCATGTAGTGAAAGGTTCATTTTTAAAGGATCATTTTTAATTGGCATTTAACTGGGGAGTAAATGAGTAAACCCCTCCATATTTAAGACTTTAATACAGTTCAAAATAACCTATGAATCAAGAAATCCTAATTGAAATTAGGATATAAATGAATCTGGACAATAGTGTAACAAAAATTATGGGTTGCAGCTAAAATGATAGTTGGAGGAAACAACTTTAAATGTGTTTAGCAGAAAAATAAAAGACTGAATGTTAATGAGAGATATGTATCTTAGAAAAATAATCACGTTCAAAGGAAATACAATGAAATAAGGATTAGGACAGAAATATTAAAGCTTATTCTCTGAAAAAGACCCAACAGTGAATGAAACCTTTGACAGAATTAAGAAACAAGAACAGGCACATACAGTATCAGAAGTGAAAAAGAATCTGTTTCTGTGGTAATATTAAGTTGATATTATGAAGAGCTTAAAAGCAATGTTTGTAAAATGTAAAAGACACTAGAAAAAACATAACTTACCCACATAAGACAAAGGAAAGGTTCTATAGCTATTAAATTAGATGACTCAGTATTTCAGGATGACTATCCCAGGCTTAAACAAATTCCTTGGTGAGTACTATAAAATATTCAAGTGATAATTCTAAACTTAAGCCATTAGAAAAAGCCAAGAAAAAGCCAAAAAAGGGTAGAAAAAGAGGGCTATCCTTTAATTCATTTTATGAGACCAGCAACTACTTGATATCATATGATGTGAGAAAGAGAAATTACCGGCCAATTTTACTTAGAACAATTGAGGCAATGTCCCAAACTAAGTGACAAATCGAGTAAGATGATTTATCATGACTTTGTCAAGTTTATGCCAAACTTATTTTTATAGTATACTTACTGTATATAAGTATACTCACAGTATTATCAAATTAACAGATTGATGGATTTTCTATATCCATCTCAGATTCTCTATATCCATCTCAGATGTAGAATAATTATTTGTTCAACTCAAAATAAAAATGGTCTTTACAAACTAGATATAAAGGGTACTTCACCAATCTAACAGTTTCTACCAAACATCTGCAGTAAATAATACATCCTCGAAAGCTTTCTTTTTAAGACTAGGAAATGACAAGGACATCTGTCATTATTGCTTTTGAAGTCAAAATGTTAGTTTCAGATAATACAGCTATAGAAAATAGAATCTACAAATTGTTAGTCAACAAAATAATTTAGCAAATTGTTAAATGTAAAAGTTTCTTTATAAAAATCAGTTGCAATTTTATATAGCAGCAATAAATAGAACATGAAAAATTTAAGAAAGGATCATTAAATAACATCAACAAATACTTTGAAAACAATTTCATAAAAGTTGTTCAAAACTGGAGAAATTGTGAAGTTGAACTTCAAAGACATAAAGGAACACTTCAGTGAATCAAGTGGCATTCCATGCTCAAAAGATTGGAAGATTTAATATAATAATTCCTAATGATTTGGAGTTTCAATAAAACTTTCATAAAAATTTTTACTTTTTATTTGAAGTGTAAAGGGCCAATAATAGTCAAGGTACTCTAAAAAGAATGATACAGCAAGAGTTAGGCTGTCTGCCAGATATCAAAATAGAACTGTAGTTATTAAAATACTAGTACCATGTTAGTATATGGAGACTCGGTTTATGGCAATAGTGGTACCACAGTGGGAGAGATGACTGCTTTTCAACAAATACTTCTGGGAGAATTGGGCTTTTCTGTGGGGATAAACTGGTGCCTAGAATTGTTGCAGGCTATTTAGAGACTGAAAAGTTGAAGGCAAATTGCTACAACATTTTAAGACTAATACAGAAAATATATTGAAAAGACTGGGGTAGGAGAAGGCTTTCCATTAAATAAGACAACCAACAACTTAAAGGGGGAAATGAATAAATCAGAATAATTTATTATTTTCTTCATCAAAAGTGGTAAGGAATACAAACAAAGTCTTCTAATGTGAAGAGACAGTTGCACATATATTGACCCCCCTCCCCCCAAAAATTGTGTACATCTTAAAAAATTCAGAGAAATTAGTTTCATACTGACACACACACAC